ATTGGAATGATCTCATAAAACAACGCAGCCTCAGTGCTTGTTCCTTCCCATCCTCTATTTCCCGAAGTCGTAATCATGTAACGACAATTCGGATCGACCACTGGCGTTGATTACACGAAAAATTGATCAACGAGGTTACGGATAACAAACAATAGGTAAATAAACATCACACATGGAAGGAAAAGGATACATATTTGTGAGATGGAACCTCCGTGATGCCCTGGTATAATGAGAAATGGAACGGCGGATTTTGAAACTTCGATATCTTCTGATACGTTCCACAGTCTTATGTTGTCCGTCGAAGCACTATGCGAATAGGCATAGAATGTTGATTTGCGTTTGACACATAATAATACTAATAAATATAATGAAAGCCTACCATATTATATGTTTCCCATTCGGCATACCGGCTACGCAAGAAACTGGACCCGATCCGCTCGGCATTTTGAAAGAACGTACAAACTTTCCAGATGCAAAGTCCCATTCATCAACTAAAATGAAAATTTTTCATGATGATTAATTATGAATCTTGAATTGAGAAACAGAAGTAGGCACGCACTCAACAGTTAATTACCAGTGCCATTACGTCGTCCGCAATAAATTTTACTACCATCAGCATTCCAACATGACTAAAATTCGTCAAGGTCGATCAACATATGTTTGGAATATGTTATGACGTGATTAGCACAAAATGATTACGTACCGATAAACACCATGGTGGTGTCCTTTCTGGAGGTGGCATCTTCCTTGGGATTGAATTCGCCACTCTTTTATCCCACACGAAGCAATTACCATCTATGCTTGTGGTAAGCAACACATCGTTTGAATGAGTTAACATCTCTTCCGGTGCATCAAACAGTGGATTAAATGGCTCGGGAGAACTTTGCATTGAAGCTTTAGCGGACAATGGAGTAATTGGTCGAAATTCCACAGAACTAATTTGAGAGCTGTGTCCTATGAATTCGCGCACAACTTGACCGGTGTTCAAGTCCCAACTCTATAATCGTAATGCGGATATAATTATCATTCATAAATCTTTGATGCAAAGATTGTAGCAGAACAATGCATAAGAAATATCTACCAGCACTGTTTTATCCCACGAACCACTTACGAAACTTGTTTCGTCGTGGGCAATTCTCAAGACTGATACAGGTGACTTGTGTTGTCGCATCACGTGGTGACATTTTCCTTCTTCGTGCCTAACGGTAAACAGGTTGATCGCACCACTCTGAACGGACGTGTCATATTTTCATTATTGAAACAATTCCATGGCCAAATGTAAATGTCCACAACTTAATTCTCAAAATGATGATCCATAACATCGTGCGACCATATTGAGATATGCGAATTCCCTACGCTCACAAATTCGCATTCCGATCACATCAATTTACGCCATGATGGAAAAAATAAATAATTTGCCTATGTATCTCACCACTCGCCTGTAAAATAAAAAAATCAAATCATACCTCCAGACCGCTTAACAACCAAATGGCCTCGGAATGAACGGCTAAACTGTAAACGGGTGAAGTTTTTAATTCTGGCATTGGTGGTTCCTGTACGTTTTGAGTCGTCCCTTCCTCCGCGGCTCCATTAGCCTCTTCAACTAGAGGGGAATTACGAAGTCAGCGTTCTCTGCAGCAAAGTTTCGCATCAACAACCACCAAGACGTTACCTGGTTTAGGAGGCGCCACCGAAGGTAAAGGTATTTCTTCGTTCTCCCAATAAGACGATATTACACCAGCCTACATTACATGGAAATTTCAAAATTGAAAAAACTAAGTGATAGGTTTATTGCAATTTTGATCAAATGGTGCCATTACCTACCGCACCTTTTGGACTGATTCAACTTGCGCGTGTTTTTGATTCTGTGTCAGCAACGTCTTACCGCTGATTGACGCAAAAAAATCATACTTTCTTATAAATCCATCTTCGCCGCCAGTAAAAACCCATCGCATATTTCTTGTTGCAGCAAGGGAATGTATGTGACAGGAATGAATAGCTGCGACCTATAGTTTTTACATGGATTGATTCGTTATCTCCATTAAAGGAGAGAAGGACGAAAGTCGTTACTTACATAAGGAACAATGTCATAGCTTTTGCAGTCATCAGCAAACGGTTGAAGTTTTCGACTCGGTGGTACGGCGGTCGTAGATGCGACGTTTGCATTAGTAAATGAGAAAGTATTGGGAACTTCCGCGTCGAGACCAACGTACCCGTCTAACTTGGGTGAAAAAAGATTTAGCAAATGTATGCCGAATGTTTTCTATAAGCATGGTAAGTACCGTCTGAAACCGGACTGTGATCGCCTGCTTCCTCCTCTGAACTTTGTTGTGAATCTCTAGAATCAATATCATCTTCGCTATCACCTTCCATTATGAACAATCTCAGCGAGGAATTGATTTTGTACCACCTAATATGATAATCAATGCATAAATGTAATTTTCCCGATTTGTAAATAAACTAGCATTTAGCATACATTTACAATTGGCTCGTTTATAATTAAATTATTAACTCGAACAATCCATTCATTTTTTACAAACACGTCATTTCTTACTGTACAAAAGTTTAAATAACTAGATGTACATCCAGCAACTGTATCTTAAAAAATTGTTTATTCAATAAAAGTTTTGGAAGGAAGGTTCGTTTATTAATCATTCCTTGAGGTGAGGTTAAACCTAAAGAAATAAAATTTCAAATAATTAAATCAAAAAAAATAGGACGTAATTCCGTATTCAATAGATCGCTTCATACCTGCGACCCTCTGAATCACCACTCCACAATCCCGTTAGCACAATTAAATGACTGGCAAAAAGTAT